CCCAGCATTGGCTGTTAGCTATTCTGAGAATGACATTTCCTCTTCTTTCTCTACTCCACCCCCAAGCTTCAGCATTGATAATATATGCTAGCTTCTGGGCTGCAGATGAAGTTCAGGTTGGTACAGCATGTGCCAGGCCCTGGGTTTCATCCTCAGTATCACACAAACCGGGAGTGTGGGCCTAAATTTCAGAACTTCGGGGTGCAAGCTTCAAAAGTTCATGGTCATCTCCAGCTACACTTCGTTTGAAACCAGCATGGGCTACTCAAGAGACCTCAACTCAGAAAACAAAACAAAAGAAAAAGATGACTTACTTTGCCATTTCTTCTAATGATTATTGTCCTCTGCCAATCAAATGGCACGGTACCTGTTTCCCAGCCCAATTTTACCTTCCACCTGAGCCTGGCACCGATGAGCAGGTGAAAACCTTAACACGTTTTCTTTTCTTTTTGTTTTAAGATGTATCCCTGGTAGGCATGACACTCACCATTATTACAGACTGATCTTGAGCTCAGGGCAGTCCTCCTGCCTCAGTCTCCTAAATACTGGGGTTACAGGGGTGGGGTAGCACACTTGACCTTTAGTTGTTGTTATTATTTTAGAGACAATATTGTGAAGCAATTTCCTCTAAATTCAAACATTCCCTCTGGAGCAAGGCTTCTAACACTCAAGAAGCTAATAAAATTTACAAGGCTCAGGAAGTCGGTAAAGTTACAGGTTTCCAAGGCTCCTTTGCAAGCTTCTCTAAGTGTAAGAAATTGCTAAGGGAGAAGAGATTCTCTGGTGGAGCTGACTGCCAGCTGGGCAGGCCACCCCAGGGGCACAGTGTCACCCATGCTGGAGTGGGTTTTCCAGAGATGTAGTTATTTTGAGTAATCCATGCTCCTATAAGTAACCTGTCACCCACACTCCTGTGTATAATTCCGCTAACCCCACTGATTCATTAAGTCAGGCTTGAGTGCAATTGGTCTGACCTTGGTGTCTCTGCAGGAAAAAGCCACACAGTAGAGGGTCTCATCTTATTGCCCAGGCTCACCTTAAGCTCCTGGGCTCAACAAATCCTCCTGCCTGTCTTAGTCACTGTCGTGTGGCTGTGAAGAGACATCATGACCATGACACTCTTATAAAAGAAAGCATTTAATTGGGGCTGGTTTACAGCTCATCATCGTCATGGTGGGAGCATGGTGGCACACAGGCAGACATGGTAGCTGAGGGTTCTACATCTGGATCCATAGGCAGCAGGAAGAGCTTCTGAAACCTCAAGACCCACTCCCAGCGACACACTTCTTCCAAAAAGGCCACACCTACTCCAACAAGGCCACATGTCCTAATCCTTTCAAAAATGCTACTCCCTGTGAGTTTAATGGGGGTCGTTTTCATTCAGACCACCACACTGCCGAAGCCTTAGACATTGTGATGCCACTTCATGCTGAGGGTTATCACCACCCATTCACCATTAGGAATAGTGTCCCTGATACCATCAGAACAAGAATAATCCAGTTTTACAATCATCTTCTGAGAGTTTCCTTTCCAGGGACTGTCTTGGAAGAACCATCTCAAGGGAACAGTGGGATGCAATGCCGTAAGCTGAAGTCAGTTGGTCACTATGGAGAATAGGATGGGCCTGGAGGAATGAGAGGCTGAGAGACATCGAAGTGCCATGATGCGATGCCTGATCCGAAGGCATAGCATAGATTTCCTTTCCCAAGCAGGCTCCCTCCATTTGCATTTATTGATGGGCTGTTGATGGATGGGTCTGGCCCTCCTTCTGGCATCTTATTTCATGTTATGTACGCGCTCTCTCCCGAGTGCTTCCTTTGTTTTCCTCCGTGGTTTGCATGTGTGTTTTCTCCAGGCTATTTCACTGCATTGGTGGCAATTTAGCATGCTATTTCTTCTGGAACCACCAGACTTTCGTCAGTATGAGATGTGTCAGATATGCTAAGTTGTGACCTGATGCATGAATGTGCTCCTGTGTGTTTTACTGTTTGGCTCCAAACAGGGATCGTGACAAAGTCTATTTTCTTCAGGGGATGGGGGAGAGATTGGTGTGTTTGTAATCACATGCATTGCTTTAGGAAAAAAAAAAAACTATTCCTGAGAGAATTCGATTTTTGACTAGAGTTAATGATAAACAAATCTTTCATTTACAATCTTACCCACCTGCTGATGGGAAGAAATCTCTACATACTATCTTCTGGATCTTTTCTTTTCTTTTCTTAAAAAAAGATTTATGGGCTAGAGAGATGGCTCAGAGGTTAAGAGCACTGTCTGTTCTTCCAGAGGTCCTGAGTTCAATTCCTGGCAACCATATGGTGACTCACATAGGATCTGATTCCCTCTTCTGGTGCAAAGGTGTGCACACAGATCAAGCACTCATATGCATAAAATAAATAAATAGAAAAAATATTTATTTATTTTTATTTGTATAAGTGTTTGCCTATATATATATATATATATGCCTGTGCATCTTATGCATGCCTGGTACCCATAGAGGCCAGAAGAGGGTGTCAGATCCCCTGGAATTGAAATTAGAGACAGTTGTGAGCGTCCATATGGGTGCTGGGAATCAATCCTGGGAGCTCTGGATGACCAGCCAGTGCTCTTAACCACTAAGCCATCTCTTCAGTTCCTGTTGTTTCTTAAAGTAGGGTCTCACACTGTAGCCCAGGCTAGCATATATTATCAATGCTGAAGCTTGGGGGTGGAGTAGAGAAAGAAGAGGAAATGTCATTCTCAGAATAGCTAACAGCCAGAAGGTGAGTAGGGCATGGTGGCACATGCCTGATTCCAGACTTAGAAGGCTGAGACAAGAGTGTCACTACAGTTTCAAAGCCAGCCTCACCTACATAATGTGGCTCAGTTGGGAAGACCGTTGGCTTAATGTGCATGAAGTCCTGAATTGAACCCCCCAGGACCAAATAATCCAGGTGTGGTGGTGGCTCACACCTGTGGTCCTAGAAATTGGCAGACATTGTAGGGAGAATGGTGTTTGAAGTCATCCTGGGCTACATAGTGAGTTCAAGGCCAGCTTGGAATATATAAAATGATGTTTAAAAAAAAAAGGAAAAAAGAAAAAAGAGAAAAAAAGATGGCCTGGCAGTGGTGGCACACACCTTTAATCCCAGAACTCGGAGGCAGAGGTGGAGGGATCTCTGTGAGTTTGAGGCCAGCCTGGTTTACAAATCCAGGACAGCCAGAACCACACAGAGAAACCCTGCCTCAGAAAACAACAACAAAAGAAGCTATTAAAATTTTTATATATTGTTAAAGAAGAAAGGGCCCCTTAAAAACAAAGTGGCTGGTTTCTTCCTGCTCCAAGCTGGACCCTCGCTGGCTGTATTTAATTGATAACAGAAGACTTCACTGTTCATCAAGGGAACTTCTCTTTGCAACAGATGGAGACCATGACAGAAAAACATAGCCAATCAAAATAGAGAGTTGTGGAGCCCAGTTCCAGCTGACACAGCTACAAAACGCTCCTGTATGTAAGGCTCTGGGAACACTGAGGGAGAGGGGCAGGAAAACTATAAGATCCAAAAGGTCAGGGAGCTTGTTGTAAGATTGTGTCACATAGTAATGTTAGAACTTATATATACCCATTAATTCTCACTAACATGACTGCGTAAACATGTGCTGAACATGGACCACACCAACAGGCAAACCAAAGTGGATGAGGAAAAGCCCGAGACCTCAACCCTACAACAAAGAACTACAGGAAGTGAGACATGCTGGGAGTGTGAGTCCAGGAAAGAGATCACCAACTGGTTCTCCAAAACCAGTCAGTCAGTCCTGAAAATATACATAAGAGTAATATTATGACATACTGAGCAGGTCATATTTAGGAATGTATATGTATATACACTTATATACATACAAGAATAATTAATGAAAAAACAGGTCATGAATTTGAAAGAGAACAAAGAAGGTTATATAGCAGGGTTTGAAGGGAAGAAAAGGAAGAGAGAAATGCAATCATAATCTCAAAAAGTAAAACTTTTTCTTCTTAAAAATTATTTTTACTAAAAAATTTTGTTGACATCTCTGTCTGTCTGTCTCTCTCACACACAGACACAGACAGACAGACACACACACACACAAAGTGGCTGAGACCTCTGTGTGGTCATACAGTGTGGAAGAGAGTGCTTCTTCCAGTGCCATCATCTGGGAATCAGCCAGGCCACTTCTCCATTGTTCTCCCGGCAGGGGCACACCTGGCATCCCAGAATGCGGCCACCTGCGCCAGGGTTTGGCCCAAAGGAGTCAATAAGACAAGCCTGCCTCCCAATGATTTCCAGGTCAGAGGAGACCCCTGGGTGCAAGCTTAGAATAAAAGGCTTGCAGACACCCTTGAGCAGAGGGCACCCTGAGACTGGAGAAACGATCGATCACAATCTGTGAGGCGTGGGAGGGAAGGACTAGGAACAGATGAGTTCCATCTTTACAAACCATCAGATACTTTCATTTTGCCCAGGAAGAAGTGAGGGCTCAGAAAGGTTGAGGAACTTGCCGTGCTCACAGGGCAAAGATTTCACGTTTCCTTTGCAGCAGATCTGACTCCCATTCGCACTCCTTCACGCATCCCTGGAACTCCCTTAGGTAGGACCACCGGAAGGGCCGAAAGGGCAGCTCTATGCAGACCACTCTGTGGTTCCTCCAGGCTATTCCCTTTTCTCCCTTCCTAGAATCGATTCCAAGAAAGATCTACAATTCCTGAGCCTCAACTGTCGCTTTGTATACCGATGAATTTTGAGACAGGGTCTCTGTACAGTTGGTTCTCGAACTCTCGATCTTTCTTAGACTACAAGGACATGAAGGACAGTAGTCAATCAGAAAGCCCGGTGCTACAGCACACAGTCCGGAGGTCAGGAATGCGGCTCGGCGCCTTTAAGCCCAGCCTGGGAACGCCCCGGCAAGCAGCAAGGTTCCGGGATTTGCGGGCTGGGAAAGCCTTTGCTGCAGCGACCTCCCAGCTCCTGTGCCGCCCTGTCCCGCGCTCCCGCTGCTTCCTGGAGCTGCTGGGCCTCGGCGTGGGGAACATGAGCCGCATCTACCACGACAGCGTCCTCCGCAACAAGGCTGTGCAGAGCGTGCGACTGCCGGGGACCTGGGACCCCGCCGCCCACCAAGGGTAGGCTGTGCTCCGTCCGCCCGGCTACTGGCCAGGGTTGGGCTGTCCTCTGTCCTCTTGGCTGCTGGCCGGGGGTGGGCTGTGCTTCCCCACACTACTAGCCAGGAGTAGCCTGGGAGCATCCTTGAGACCTGGGCCTGTCGAACTCAGAATCTGATTCCTGCTCAAAGAGATTGATCTGGGGCGGAGGGGGTGTTGGAGGTGAGGGAGAGAGAGGGGGAGAGGGAGAGAAAAAACAAAAACAAAAACAAAAAAAAAAAAAAAAAAAAAAAAAAACTGGCCACATCTGGTTTCCAGGCAGCTCTTCCCAGTGTCCCTGACCCCCACATCAACACACACTGGGAAGACAGATATATTCTTGAAATTCCCGCTGCCTACACTCCTATCCACTGGAGAGACTCCATGCTCCTAAGTGGAACTCCAGAGGCGGTGCTTTGGTTCCCACCCCAGGATCTGAACTCTAGTAATTTGTCATGATGCAGCATAGGTGGTCAGTGCTTGGTGTGGTAGGAAAAACAGAGGGAGGGTGGGAGCATCCGGAGGTACAGGCCGAGTCCAGGGTAATAAGCAGGATGGGCAATTCCATTTTCAGTCAGAAATACCGAATTATACTATGTGTTAGAAGCTAGTCCCAGAAAGCCAAATATCGTGTCGTCTAGGAAGTGGAATCTAGAGTCCAACTCGTAAGGTTTTCAGTGAAGCCGTTCTGAGGATCTAATGTGTGCATAAATTTGATTGTGTGAATCATTACACAATGTGTGTCTATGTGAAATCATCCTGCTAAATGCCTTCAGTATATGCTGCCTTTGTCAGATGTTTTTAGAAAGAATTTGAGAGGAGAAAATGTATAAGGCAAGGAGTCTGGGCCCAAAGGTCTCCCACTATCTGCTTAGACCCACCCAGTCCTCACACTGATGCTTCCAAAGACAGCCCCGGGTCCCAGGTTCTGCTTTTGTGAATGCTATCCTCTGGAAAGTGGCAAAGGGGCAGCTCTGGTCACTCTGCGTGGTACCCTGTGATCTTGGGATAATCCCCCAACCTTCTGAGTCTCCAATTTTCTAGCTGTATGGTGACAATAACCATTTCCCTGGGTTGATGATGGTCATGTAGGAATGAATGGGAACAGGAACATGAAAGTTCTCAAGTTGTCACCCCCTCCCCCAGACAGGGTTTCTCTGTGGCTTTTGGAGCCTGTTCTGGAACTAGCTCTTGTAGATCAGGCTGGGATAAAAGGAAAATTCTTTAAAATAGGGGAAATGTCTCACTAGATTCAAGTTCACTTTCCAGCACTGGTGCCAGGGGGCTCAAAACTGCCTGTAAGTCCAGCTCTGGGGGATTTGACTCCCTCTTCTGAACTCCAGAGGCACCAGTACACACATGCTTACACTCACACAGACACACATACTTAACACATAACCCCACCACCAACAACAACAGCAAGATACCCGGGCATGGTGACTCACAACCTTAATCCCAGCACTTGGAAGGCAGAGGCAGGTTGATCTCTGTGAGTTCAAAGCAGCTTGGTTTACATACAACATTCCAGGACAGCTAGGGATACATGGGGAAACCCTGTCTTTAAAAAAAAGGGGGGGGGGGCTGGAGAGAGGGCTCAGAGGTTAAGAGCCCTGGCTACTCTTCTAGAGGTCCTGATTCAATTCCCAGCGCCCACATGGTGGCTCACAAACCATCTATAATGAGAGGGTGCCCTCTCCTGGCCTGCAGGCATACATGCAGGAGGAACACTGTACACATAATATATAAATCTTTAAAAAAAGAAAGGGAAAATGATTTATGTGGCATTGACATTTGTTCCCAATTGTGTGTAAATATAAAACATAGAATATCTATTTGTAGCTTTTTGCTATGTATTCAAGGCCTGATCTGAACTCACAGTATAGCTCAGGCTGAGCTTCAACTTTCAGCAACCTTCCTTCCCAAGTGTAGGGATTCCAGGCGTGTGCCATCAAGCCCAGCTCTAAAGATGCTTTCCATTTAACAGGTACTTAGTATTTACTTTGCATTCAAGCTCTTAGGCCAGCAGCAGAGGGGCACAGTGAGGCAGCTGTGTTCTCATTTGTGGATAAGAATCTTGACAGTCTGATCACAATACTGGTCACAGTAATTCTCACTGTGTGTGTGTGTGGGGGGCACAGCTTGGGAAGGTTCTTTGCAGGGATAGGGGAGCAGAGAGCGGCTGCTTCACACCAGGCCCCCTCAAAGACAGGTGAATGGAGTCTGGGTGAGACTTGTTTCTGTCTCAGTGCAGATTCTCACCCAGGCCACTAAACCCTAGTGTGGCTTCCAGAGGACTGACAGAACCCGCCTTCCTTCCTTCTCACCCCCAGGGGAAATGGCGTCTTACTGGAGGGAGAGCTGGTGGATGTATCTCGGCACAGCATCTTGGATGCCCATGCCAGGAAGGTGAGGCTGCTTCCTGGGTGGTACTCTTCCTTCACCCACATAACATCTCATTGTGCTGGGTGAAGACATGGGACCCAGGTCAATCCTGAGGGGCTCATAGAACATACTGCCACAGCCAAGCAGGCCCAGTAGAAAGAGGACTTTTAGGGCCCTTTCGGGTAGCAGACAGGGAGGGCTGCATAGTTTGTAGTCCTCTGCTACAACTGAAAGAACAGACCAGGTTCCAAACTCACACTCATTTGAAGATAGTCTAGACGCTGACTGACATCTGGCTGCAGCTCTTGTATGGATGGCCTTCTATCTTTGCTTCACAGGCTCCTCAGGTTGTGTTCACAACCCACACGTCAGGGCTGGAGAGATGGCTCAGTGGTTAAGAACGCTAGCTGTTCTTCCAGAGGTCCTGAGTTCAATTCCCAGCAACCACAATGGCTCACAACCCACACATCCCAGGTGTTCATGTGACCACTCCTAGGGTCATCCTAGCTCATTTCTCCTTTCTGAGCATTAGTTTTGCACGTCTGCCTTCCCTTCAGATAGCCTCTTCTGGATGTGCTGAGAACACTGTCTCCTTGGTCCTTGATCCTTGGTCTCAAAACCTCAGGTTAACATCCGTGTAGGTCTTCTCAAGGTGGGTGGAGGCCAGGTTCTATTCTCAGCCTTTTTTTTTTTTTTTTTTTTTTTTGAGGTAGGGTTTCTCTATAGCCCTGGCTGTCCTGTAGACCACACTAGCCTCAAACTCAGAGATCCACCTGCCTGTGCTCGGCTTCAGTCTATGCTTTTTGTATTACATATACTACCCCATGAGAGCAGTCTCTGCTACTGGCTCACTGTTTTCATGCCCCTCACTCTGCTCCTTAACTTGCAGGTCAGGAGGTGGGCACACCGGTCTGGAGCCCCCCACCCACCTGCCCAGGAGAGTTGCTCCCATGTGGGAAGGGCCTGCCTCAGCTGGCCCATGTTTGTGCAGACCTTTCCCGAATGTGCCTCTCCTGTCCTTACCCCTGATGATACACAGGGCTGTAGCCCCGCCAGCCACTAACCTTCAAGCCCCTGTCTCCTCTTCTCTCCGTTCCTCCTCCTTAGGTGGGCAGTGCCCACGCAGCCTAGTTCCTACCCAACCATCATCCCCATCCTCCTCCTCTTTCCATAGCCACCCTTCACGGGGCCCTTAGCTCTTCCTCTTAAATCTTTGTGCCTGATTTCCCATGATCTGGTGGCCCTCAGTTTACCCCAGAAAGACATCTCTGGAGGATTGTTGCTGCCCCCAAACCTTTCAGGATTCCTTCTTATTTACCAAAGAAGATCAAAATTTCCAATGGCAGTTCGAGGCCTATCTAAAACCCACCTCAGCTGCGTTCTGGCCTGCCTGGGCTGCCAAAGGGCTCTCAATGGTCCACATCTCTCAGCAGATGTACACATGGCCTCTTGCCTGGCTCAGGCTTTTTTTTTTTTTTTTTTTGATAAGGTCTTATCCAAAAAATAATCCAGGCTCATCTTGATTAATTGTATGGAAGAGGATGACTTTGAATTTCTGATCTTCCTGTCTTTTCCTTCGCAGTGCTGGGATCACAGGTGTGTGACACCATGCCAGGTTTATGCAGTACTGGAGTTCAAATGCAGGGTTTGGAATATGCCAGACAAGCACTTGACATTCTCAGGACTGTCTTAGGCTTAGCTTAGGCTTTAGTGCTCTTCTAACACCCTGGCTCCACAACTGCAGGTTACTCTGCTCTTTTCGAATTCACCTTTCATGGTTGTCCCCAAAGTGCCAGCTGCTTCCCCCTGTCTGGCACGTTCCTGGGCCTGTTCTGATGGGAGCTCCTGGTCAGTGACTTCTCAGCGCATTTCTTTCTTTGCAAGCGCCTCCTCCTCATGATGTCACTGGTTCCCTGTAATGTCCCTGAAAGGCAGCATCATGCTGTTCCTACATGACAGGGGAAACTGAGGCATGGGAAGGGTGGGGTGATTTGCCCCAGTACTGTGTCTGGGAGCAGCAGAGTGGCTGCCTATCCCTTAGGTCCTCAGTGTCCTTCCTGTGGCATGTTGGCAGCATCCCTCCTGCCTTGTGGCATTTGGGGACCCTGTACTTGGGTTATGGCTTTTGGCAATTGGTTGTATGGAAGCCTTGGAGGCCTTGTGTTGCCCTGCATGGCTTGTGTGGCAGATAATGTGGACAGGCACTCTAGTGAGTGTAGGAGTAGTGTAGGATGGTAGAGGGTGAGGTGGGCAGAGGCTGCAAGGAAAGCCTGGGCGCGTGTGCTCAGACTGGGGTGGGGAGTGAGGGAGTCTCCTCACGCCTTCTTTGCCACACCCCAGGAGCGCTACTATGTCCTGTATATCCGGCCCAGTTGTATCCACCGACGAAAGTTTGACCCCAAGGGAAATGAAATCGAGCCCAACTTCAGTGCCACCAGGAAGGTGAACACAGGCTTCCTCATGTCATCTTACAGTAGGTATCCTGGGTGCTCCCTCCCCAAGAGGTTTAGACTGTGTCCCTGCTTGTCTCCTGCGACCCTTGCGCTTCCCCGCCCCAGGAAGTGGCTTCTCAGTACAAGAGGCTTTGGTGCTGTTTCCAGCTTGAGCATCCCCCTGTGGGATTCCTTCCTGCCCCCAACTGACTCAGAGAACTCCTCGGTGTTCCAGGAGCCAGGCTGGTATTCCCAACTGCTTCCATTTCCTGAAGTCTGGCAGGATTTTCCACAGGCTTGGCTTTGGGCTCTATCATTGTGTGTGGAGACCAGGCCAGGCCCCAGCAGTCTCTGACCTCCTATCCAGATGTTCGCTGTTGGCTCTCGGTCTCCTTGTATTTGTTACTTTTAGTATTAATGACTTTTCTTGCTGTGACAAAATGCTGGACAACGTGACTTCAAAGGAGAAGGGTTTGATTAGACTCACACAGCAGGAAAGTGCGGGCAGCAGAACTGTTGGACAAGCCGTGGAGACACTGTGCTGGGGGCTAGGGGTAACCATGCTTGCCTTCTGCACCTTACAGACAGCCACTGCCCTGTGAGCCCACTACCTGCAGGGTTAGGACTTAGATTCCTTGCTGAATTGCTGAGCTCTGCCACAGCCATCCTGGAGTAGGCTGGTAGAGGGTGTGGGGACCACAAGCTGGCTGCTGGTTCTAGAACCTGAAGGAACCCTGCCTGGTCACAGAGTGTCAGTTGGAAGGCAGAATTGTACTGTGAGTGTTTGAATGCTGCCTCCTCTCTGTCTTGGTTTTTCTCATCTCTGAGATGGAAATAACAAAGCCACAGACCCTTGCTGAGGGCTGGCTCCGGGCCAGACACTGTGCTAAACGCTCTACTTGCTTTTTTTCCCATCATCTGTACTCCATGTCAGTGCTGTCAGATCGGTACCATATTCATCCCTGTTCTCAGGGACAAAGAGAAAGCTCACTTGTCCAGATTTCCATAGAATCCAGATTTGCTCCAGGTAGCCTGGCTTCAGCATCCAGGTGGTATACAACCTCTGCTGTGGAATTGTGTGATGAGCCCTGGCAGGAGGGATGCCCTTGGTGAACAAATGTTTCCTCTCCAGGCTCACTAACACTTCGGCATCATATGTTCTACAGAGACGGAAGCCAAGGGGGACACTGACAGGCTCACACCAGAGGGGCTGAAGGGCCTAGTAAACAAGCCGGAGTTGCTGAAGCTGACAGAGAGCCTCACCCCAGACCAGACAGTGGCATTCTGGATGCCTGAGTCAGAGATGGAGGCAATGGAACTTGAGCTGGGAACTGGAGTGCGGTTAAAAACTCGGGGTGATGGCCCCTTTATAGGTGAGGAGTGTGATTCATTTTGCCTGTTCCTGTAGGGCAGTGGTTCTCAACCTTCCTAAGGCCATGACCCTTTAATGGCAGTTCCTCATGTTGTGGTGACCCCCAACCATAAAATTATTTAGTTGCTACTTCATAACTATAATTTTGCTGTTATGAATAATTATAATGTAAATATTGGATATGGAGGATAACTGATGTGCAGTCCCCAAAAGGATTGAGACCCATAGGTTGAGAACCACTGCTGTGGAGGCTCCTGGCCTCCCTTCAGAGGTTCCTCATCTCTGTTGCTTAGAGCTATGGGAGAAGGACAAGTCTGGCCTTCCAGAGGGACCTGACCTGTGATTGAGCTTTACTCCTAAGTCTGTGGCCAAGTGCCATGGGGCCATTAGCCTGGACACACCATATCCCAGGATACCATCCAATTCCTTGTTTCCTATGGCTGGCCCTTGCTTTCTAGTGCTTTGGGAGTCCCACCAAGAACCCTAGTAGCCACACCAGAAAACAGAGCCAACCCAGACTCCTCCAGAATGGATTGCCTTAGCCCAGCTAGTCCACTGCAAGAAGAAAGGCCATTCAACATTTGTCCTTTCAGATTCCTTAGCCAAACTGGAGCTGGGGACAGTGACCAAGTGTAATTTTGCTGGTGATGGAAAGACAGGGGCATCCTGGACAGACAACATCATGGCCCAAAAGTCTTCAGAGAGGGCCACAGTGGAGACTCGAGAACAAGGAGATGGAGCAGAGGATGAGGAATGGGTAGGTCAAGAGGACAGCTGTGGACCTGGACCTGGTATTGTGTCTCTTGGTAGGAGTTTTGTATTTCTCCTGAAGTGGTACATTAGTCATGGGAAGGTCTTTGAGCAACCAAATGTTTTTTCCTCCTTAGTCAGGACTCCAAAACCTGAAAAGTGACTGAATACTAATCTAGTTTTACTAGTGTTTCCTTGCTACCCTATTTCGTTAACACCCTAGTTTATATGTAGTTGTTTATCTGGAGTGTGTTTCATCTGAACTGATATCAAAAGCCTCCTAATAGAACATTTTGAACAAAGAAGTCACAGAAAAATTAGGTATTCACCTCAGAGAGGGCAAGGACGACTTTGGCCAACCAAGGTCAGGGAAGGGCATGTGGAGGGTCTGGGTTACCTTTTGTGTCAGTAAAACTGACAGATGGTGGATTTGCTGGGTGGGCTCTGGAATCTGCTCTGATGTGAGGCTACGCAGTAGCTGAGGATCCTGTGGATCCTGCAGGATCAGGCCTGTCTGAAGATTGCCAGGAAACTTTTATGAAATATGCTCTACTCACACCCCTTGACTTGACCACTTTGTGTTTCCAGGATGACTGAGGTACCTCCTCCCACAACCAGCATCTGAGATGGTATCGTTGAGAAGAAGCCATATGACTTCCACCCTGGAGAGAGCAGTCTGTCAAGACAAATACCATTTAACACACTCTGCTGAGGTCAAATCCAAGACCTCAAGATTCACAGGTCTCCAGGCTGTGGCTTTTGTATGTGTGTGTCCCTCTTTGGATGCAAGATTAGCTCTCCTGACCTCTCTCCAGTGTTCCTTTCCCTAGGTGGTGTACATGTACTGGATTGAGTTCCCCAAGGTACTTAGTCCTGATGCACAATTAAGAAATGTCCCTGTGTGAGACAAAGGGGCTCTGGGGGGAGTGGGTGGGCTCCTCCCATTCTTGCTGTTTTCGCCTTTCTTTCCTTTCTATCCTGTGTTAGACTTCTTGTGCCTCTGCTCTCCTGATCTAATCCTCCTTGGTCTGTTCTTCCCCACACCACACCCAAGGCACCACTTCTTTTTTCTGTTCTGCTCCGTGTCTCCATGGGGTTTCTTGTCTTAGGGTTTTTACCACTCTGATGAAGCACCATGACCAAAAGCAACGTGGGGAGGAAAGGGTTTATTTCACTCACAGTTTCATACAACAGTTCATCATCAAAAGCAGTGAAGGCAGGAACCTGGAGGCAGGAGCTGATGTAGAGGCCATGGAGGGGTGCTGCTTCTAGCTTGCTCTTTATGGCTTGCTCAGTCTACTTTCTTATAGAACTCAGGACCACTGGCACAGGGGTGACACCACCCACAATGAGCTGGACTTTCCCATCAGTCATAATTAAGAAAAAGCCTTATAGCTAGATTTTGTAAAGACATTTTCTCAATGAAGGTTCCCTCCTTTCAGATGATGCTAGCTTGTGTCAAGTTGACATAAAAGCATCCAGCACAGACCCACCTGGCTGCTCTATTGGACAGTGCTGTTCTCTGGAAGGCCAGCAGCCTTTCCAGCTGTGTCTGGCTGGTCCACGGATCTTGACTCCTTTCACTAGGCCAACTTTTAAATGTTTATTTATTTTTAATTTTTTTAAAATGGTGCTGATAATCAAGCCTATTGCTTCATGCTTACTAGGCAAGTGATCTGCCACAGCCTATACCCACAGTCCTGGACTACATTTTTAGAACCACTATTTCTGTTGCTGGAAAATGTTTATGAATGAAACTTCAAGAAAAAATTTTTCAACACGACTGGGTTCTTGTCTGGTGTTAATGGTCTTCCAGCTGAGCCACCCTCCTAGAAGAGAGCCTTCAGTCTTTGGTCATAAACACTGCCTTATTGGGTAGTATGTCCCTGCTCAGATCTGTGAGAAAATTTGGAGTGGAAGTCTACATGTCCTGAGTTTAATTCTATGTAGTCATGGCAAGTGTATGTATCTTGCTTGATCCTGGGAAGAAGGGGTACCAGGCAAGAATTAATGAGTCTCCTTCACATGACAAATGCAATGCCACATGCTTTCTGTGACCATGACCGGTACTGAAAATACTGCGTTTTTCCTATGCTAGTACTTATATGAAGTACTTGGAGTATTCTATCACAACACTCCTATGATGTATACATGTTGATATCCCCTTCTTTTTTGGTACATAAACTGAAGCTTTGAGGCTTAATGAATAGTATGTATTGCCAGAGAAAGGGATTTAAACCTGGGCAGTCAGTTTCAAAACCTACATTTCTTTCTTTCTTTCTTTCTTTCTTTCTTTCTTTCTTTCTTTCTTTTTTTGAGGGAGATCTCATACATTTCAGGCTGATGACCTTGACCTTCTGCTCCTCCTGCCTTTACCTCCCCAGTTCTGGGTTATAAGCACACATCCCCATGCCTATTTTATGTGGTGCTGGAGCTCACACTCTGGGCTTGGTGCATACTAGGTGAGCACTCTACCAACTGAGCTACACTCCCCAGTCCCAAAGTCCACATTCCCCCCCCCACCCATTTTTTGTTTTTGTTTTTTTTTTAAAACAGGGTTTCATTATGTAGCCCTCAAATTCATTGTGTAGACCAGGCTGGCTTTGAACTCACAGACTTCTTTCTGCTTGTCTCTGCCTTCTGAATGCTGGCATCAAAGTCCATATTTTAGATTACTGGACTCTTTTGCTTCCCACATGCAAGCTATAGAGAAGGAAGAGGGGTTCAGGGAGATTATACAACTCTCCCAGTTCCTAAGTGAAGGCTCCAGGATTTGAGTCCAGAGCTTCCAGAGGCAAAGCTGTTGTCGCTTCCATTGTCTCTGCTTCCTTGGATACAAAAAGTTTTTGGATATAAGGGCAAATATCTAAAGTATAGCTATATTTTGGATATATGGTTATGAATAGGGTACCTGGGGGCACTGGGACATCTTCCTGCCCAAAGCTCTGTGGAAACCCCTGGAGCAGGCTGTTGATGTCCTGAGGCAAAGGGCTCTGGATCTTAGACTTTAAGGAAGGAAAGGCCATTGTAGCTGGAGTTCAGAGAGTAGCATAGCATGGGAGGTGTGCTTGCGATGAGGCTAGATATAGGGCATGGCAATTTCATGCTTACTAAAGCTTACAGGACTTTGTCCTTAATGTCCTAAACGCTAGTGATCCCGTGGAGAGGTGAGGGCCAATTCATCTGTTCTGAAGCTCAGTTGGCAGAGAAGAGATGGGGGCAGTGAGCTTCTGCTGGAATCTGCTGCTGATAGTAAGGTCAGCTCTGTTTGCTCTGCAGCAGAGACAAAGGGGAGGAAAGGGCTCATGTCCAGAGGTGTTTAGGGAACAGAATCAGGCCCCAAAGGAGAGGAAGGAGTCAGACTGGTGATGGGAAGTGTTTACAGGGGCCCAGCCTGAGGCTAGGCTGAAATTAGAGTCCCGGGGAAAGGAAACAAAGTGTTCTGTAGATAAGAACAGAACTTCAAAGACAGGTGTGGTGGCTCATGCCCATAATTCCAGTCCTTGGGAGGCAGAAAGATAGAAAGGCTCCCAATAGTTTGAGGCTAGCCTGGGTTACAGATTGAGACCCCACTTCATAAAACCAAAGCCAAAAACCACACAAGCAAACGAACAACAAAAAAGGAACAAGATGGCTCAGTGGGTAAAAGTGACTGCCACCACGCCTGAAGCCAAGTTTGATGCCCAGAGCTTAGATGATGATAGAGAGACCAACTCCAGCTGTCGTTTGCTGGTTTCCACACTCATTCACACTGTAGCACAAGGGCATCTACCCCTCCACATAAGTAAACAATAACAACAACAGATTTCAGGTTTAGTGGTTAGAGAAACTGAGTTAAAAACTTCCTTCTCTCCCTCCTGTCTCTGCCTCCCAAGTATTACAGGCATGTGCTGTCATACCAGCCTTTAATAGTGCTGGAGCTATATAATATATGTATATATATTATAGCTGTAAGCACTCTAGACCTGTGCTACATCCTTAGCTTTATCATCATTATACACTTTTTGTTATTATTGTGTTGTGTGACCATAGGTGCACATGTGCTATAGCAACTATGTAGAGGTTAGAGAATTGTTGGACTGGAATTGCTCCACAGTCAAACTCTGATGCCCCCTACACCACATACTAAAATTATTTTATGCCAAGGGCTGGAAAGATGGTTAAGACTACTCATCTTCCAAAGGACTGGAGTTGCTCCCAGCACTCCTATCAGGTGGCTCCCGGCTAAACTTCCTGTAACTCCAGCTCCAAGGTGCCCTCTTCTGGCCTCTGAGGGTACTTGAACGCATGTGCTCATATGGACACATGCACACACATGTTTAAAATAAATCTTTAAAATTACTTTACTATAGCTGGGCAGTGGTGGTGCACTCCTTTAATCCTAGCACTCGAGAGGCAGAGGCCAGCCTGGTCTACAGAGTTAGTTCCAGGACAGGCCCTAAAGCTACACAGAGAAACCCTGTCTTGAAAAAAGAAATTATTTTACTATAGATTATTGTGTTATGGTTCAATATATCTCCCTTTAACTCTATAATTATGATTTGGAGTTTGCGAGGTGGCTCAGCAGGTAAAGACAGTCAAATCTGATGACTACTTTAGATCCTTGGACCCACACAGCATGAGCGAACTGGACTCCCTAAGTTGTTCTCAGACTCCATTACAGGTTGCACAAGTCTTCTCCCCAATAAACATATAAATTGACATACTTCAAAACATCCTAGTTGGTAAAGCTAGTTCTCTCTTGTCACTCTGTTTAGAATTGTCTTTGATATTCCTGTCCAACATTTGAATCATTTTGTCACACTTAGGGCAACTGCCATTTGAATTTTTACTTACACCCCCACCCCCACCCCTGAGCAGGATACATGTGGTGAAAGCACTTCGGAGGCAGGGGCATGCGAATCTCTGAATTCGAGGCCAGCCAGGGCTACATAGTGTGAGCCTGTTTCAAACAAAACAAAAACATAAATAAATAAGAAGAAAACAAAAGGTGTTACCAGTTCGAGA